CCGACGGAGAGAGAAAGAAACTCTCTCACTGATCGAGAAGATTTCAGTCCCTTGCAACAAAAGCAAGAAAACATACATGAATCACCATTTTCATAATCACTTCTCTGTTTATTCCCCATAAAGAAAAAACAACGCCCACAAAAATCTAAGTACATCAAAAGAATCATGATGATAAAGGAGATAAGAAGAAGAAGCCTGAAAAAAACACCTCCACACAAGAATTAAGCATACAAGAGTGAAAAGAAAAAACGTTTCATAAAATATGAGTTTTTTCAATCAAAGAATTCCCAATTGAACCTGGGAGGGATCACGTGATTATTTGCAGTAGTCGCGGGATGATGATCGAATGTTTCCCATTTAGTAGAAGAGTCCGTCACAAATGGTCCTGCCCCTGAATTCCGCGGCTCCTCTTCAATCTCTTGCTTCTTCTGCTTTTGGTGTATCGGCAAGTCCATGAGCGATTGTATCGGTTTCTGTTCTTGTTTCTGCCCATTGTTATCTTCTTGAATCGTTGCAAGTCTCTGACTACTTGACTGTTTCTGCCCATTAGCCATAGAGTTCTTCACCTTCAAAAGATCGACTGTTTCGACAAAATTCTGCACTCTCTTCACCTGCACATACATAGAAAGCAAATGTTGCAACTAAATTTAACCCAACAACATTGCAAAAATCGTCGGTCCTGAGATGACTATGATTACAATACCTGCATCTTTCTTTGTAACTTCACATCTCCTTCAGCCACAATCCCATCCAACTTTATCAACTCATTCATCAACAATTCAATCATCGTTACAAGATCTTTCTCCGCAACTTTCCCTCCTTTCTTAATGACCATCTCAAACGCCGAAACCTACACACGAAAAATCCCCAAACATTTTCATAAAATGAAAAGGCGATATCATCAAAAGAAACAAAGCAAATGAAGTAGTAGGGCTTGGCGGGCATTACACGTCCGCCGAGCCTATCCACTTCGAGGCTAATATCGGAAATGGCTTTAGACGCCTTTTCGGTTTTGGCAATCTTCCTCATTTCCAAAAACCGTTTCTCTTGGCTAATCGGGTCTTCGATAAGCACCATCTTGGATTTATCTTTCACTCCCAAAATGTCGAGGAAGTCCTTTGAATCCCTCTCTTTGTCTTTGTACATAAGCTTCTGATCTTGATGGTGAATACCAGTTGGTCCACTCAACATCTTCTTCAGCTCCCCTGCATCCAATTAATCACCAACACAATAATCCTTTTAAATCTCTAATCTAATTCCCCACAATTCCATAAATTTTCTTGTGAATTATGAGTATAAACGAAGAAGAGACTGACCAAATGAAGCTTGAGGACTAATACTGATCTCATGGTACACCGCACCGTACTTGATTCTGACTCTGATCATCGGGGGCGGTGGAGGTCCCGCAGGATCCGAATCCGGGTTCCGTTTCTGAACCAACATTCCTCCGGGTCTCATTTCCCAATCATGC